ATGTTTCAAACGTCATGGCAGGCAGCTAATGACCAGGAAACGATCTGTGTATCCTCCCTGTCCTCCCTTTCTTCCTTTAACAGTTAGTTTCCTACGCTGTGACCATCTCACTTCCTCTCATTTTCCTTCGTGCTCCGTCCATCCTTCCCCAGTGTTTACCTCCTCCCTCTTTCCATTCTGTGTCGCTCCCTTTAGGCTTTCCTTCATTAGGCTGCTGTGCTGGTTGTAACAGTGGAGTAATCACATATGGTGCAGGGCACACATAAAGATGCACTCCCGCAGGCAGCAGCTGCTGATACTAGCTGAAAATAGATCCCTGGTACGCTCAGCAGTTTTCCTCCAGCAGCTTTGCTGTTTATCGGCAGCCCTGGATGCAATGGCCGGCCGCCCAGCCTCATTTAAGCTGTCAGTGCCTCACCATTACAGTCGGCATGGTTCACTCTACCACACCTAATTCTTTGTGCGCGCGCGCGTGTGTGTGTGGAGCAAGGCTAGAGGCAGTTGTTTGAGTGTACGTTTGCTCCGTTTGCAAGAAGGTTCTTTTTTTTTTTTCTGTGTCAGAGTGTCCGTCCTCCATGCATCATCTCATTAATAAATTAATGATTCTTTGTCTGACACAAAGATTCCTTCATTTAGCAGGCACATTAGTGAGATGTCCAAAGCAAAGTGAATTTTGCAATTAGCGTGAAGAACATTCAAAATAGACAACATGTACATGTGGACTTTTGACTTTTAGAACCATGAAAGGACTAAGCATCATGATATCACTGCCTCTGATGCACAGATTTTGACCTTTGTATTGTAATCAGTTTCTCAGAAATCCCCCAGCATTATGGATTTATGAGAGTAAATCACGAGGGTTCCCCTTTAATGCAAAAATAGAAACACAGAATTCATTAATATCATCACAAGCATTAAACTAGTGATATAAAGAGGAAGCAAGATAAAAGATCAGTCTGCAGCCTAAAGGACATGCACACAATATCATCACACAGTTTATAGTAAAAAAAAAAAAAGAGCACGAGATTCAGAGTCAATGGATTCATTATTGCAGCGAGAACAGAAATGTGTGTGTGTGTGTGTGTGCGTCTGTGTTCCTGAGCGGAGCTGCAGTAGTGGTGTAGTGGATGTGCTGTGCTCATCAGTAGAGCGGATAGTCCAGTCAAAGCCTCTACCCTCCCCCCAATCTGTCACACTCAGACACACTCAGACTTACTCTAACACAGACACACACACACACACACACACACGCATACAGCAACACACACAGACACACACCATCCCCCCTCACAGATATGGAGTCAGCAGCTTCCTTTTAACAATGACTGATGTGTGCAATGCTGCTGGATTGTCTGTTAGCCAGAGCGCACTGCAAGGTGCTTCACACCAGAGGCATGCTGGGAACCTGCAGCCTGTAGCGGCATCAGGTTAACAGAAGAGAGACGGATGTTCAAGGCTGAGCTGTAGTGTCTCAGTGTCCCTGCAAATCCAAAAACACATATATTCAATTTTAATTGAAATAATATCATACATTGTACACTAAACAAATGTGCACATAGCATTTGTCAAATGTGTTAGTGCTGGAGTTAGTATAACTGTTTACATCATGAACACTTGGCTGTCTGTGATCATATCACAGCAACAAAGAAACTCAGCAGATGTGTAATTGAAATTAACAGGAGAATTGAGATGTAGGCTCAAAATGAGACACACCAAGGGCTAATACATCTAATTATGCAAGTGTAACTTTACATAGCTATTTATAGCACGTGGTCACCACTGCATTGACGATGTAGGTAATAGGGCCACAGTACTGATTTATAAACCCAACTGGGAAATATTTCAAGCTGTCACGGGCCAGCTGAAAGAAATACTGAAGGATTTGACAGCTGTTGCTCTTGAAAAGAAACGCCTCATTTCACAGAGCCACAATTACAATACAAAGTAAGAAACACGTTTATTTATAGCTTTTTTTCAAGAGAGACTCGCAGACTGTAGTGGCTTCTAATGAGCAACAGCGGTTCGTGGAAGAGAGAAATGTGTAGTGGAGGGACAACAGGATAAATAGATGACAGAACTGATAAGTTACACTTAAGGAAAAGCTTGAAGAAAGGAGTGGAAGACAAATGCCGCCTTACAGGTGTTGTGCATGATACAATTACGCAATTATTACATATCTTTGTCCATCAACAAAACATAAAATGAAGGAATATCTTCCAGAGAAATTATCTGTACTAGAGTTCTGCACACTTTGAGAGTCTGTATAGACATGTACAATACAGTGAAATCATAAAAATAATAAAACCAAGTCAACTGATTCTACAAATGCATTCGCAATGAAACAACAGGCCTCAGAGGTGCTTTCCGTAATGTACCAATTTTTAAAGGAAAGTGTGTAGCCACAGTTAGTCTGTATTCATTTATTCATTGGCAAATATCAAATCTTCATATCAAGCCACCTGACCTAATCTCAGTTCCTCAAGATTTTTCCTGGGAATTTAGGGGTTTTGCCATCCTCAGGGGAGGTTTGTATAGACTGATTATAACATTTCTTGAATCACTATATTTACTTTTAAGCTAAAAAAATTTAATTAAAATGTGAAGAAAACTTTGGGATTTGGTTCAAAGATTAATAATAATAAAAAAAAAAGCTCATACGTGCACCTTGAGTAAAGAATTTCCCCACCAGGCATGTAATCCTGTCAGTTTGGCTAATAGTTTGGAGCATTTAGGCAATGTCTAGAAATTCATTCTTGCTGACAATGGCACAGCAAATGCACTGACATCATGCATGCAAATAGAGATCATCTTTGTTTCCATAAACAAGTACAGTATGACTGTCAGCATGCGCCAGATTCAGTCATAGATGGTATCAGATTTCGTTTAGATAGACTCATACATAATCCTGGAGATCACAGAGTTTAGCTGAAAGTCAAGTTGGGTGTTTTACAATTTAAAGCTCTAATTCTTGTATCTGTTGTTTAATCACATAATCCCCGTCTGTATTTTGGGGTCATGTTCTATCCAAATTGGCACAAACTCATCTCCGTTGTGTTGTTGCACTCTGAGCCTCTTGCATGTATTATCTCTAATTTTACTTTTGGAACAAGGAAAAAGGCAATAAAACATTGGTTCGTTTGGTCTTAGAGGTCTTAGAAACAAACAAAAAAACAAAAATAACAACTTAATGCACATGTTTGCTTGTCTGCTAGAAAATCCACAAGGCCTGATGATTTAATACATTCCTAGACTTACTCAGATCACCTCAAGCTATTTTTTTACTGACATATTTGTGTTTCCGCATGCATAGTGCTTAGTTGTTTTTCCAGGCGGAAAAATCCACAAAGCAAATTCTGTGGTTTTTTGAAAGCTTGATTACCTAGAAGGGAAAATCCTGTTTTACTAGCGGGGTGTCTGGCAGAGGCTGCTGGACCTCTGGAAGCTGCGGCAGCGCTCATACAGTGCATACCTAGGGTCATTCATCTTCTTGTTTCTCCCAGCAAAGGCAGCAAAACAATCAGTAAACAGTGGGCTCATTAAAACCACATTGTGCTGCTCATCCTCTACATCTGCAAGTCTGTGCGAAGTCTTGTAAGAAAGACTTTACATCACTCAGCCCCTGAAAAAGTGCTTTGCAGACAAACAATACCGGCCAAAGTGAATCCATTGTAATCGCATCTGTGGGTGCACCTTTACTCCGCATGTAGTTTGATCGCATTCCCCCAGCGCCTAACAGTAATGTGTTTGTCACCTGAGAATGAACCAGGATAAAGCTGCAGGGATTGGTTGGTAGAGCCCGAGTAAAGTGATGAACGCAACCTAGTGTGAACCTCACGCTGATCTCCAAACAGCAGACAAGCCACGTTTAAATCCAGCTCCTCTGAGTCCTTTCTCTCGTCTGTGTGCTCAGTGACAACAGCACCAGAGGGCGGGCTGGACTTCTACTCAGGCTCAGGAGTTTACCTAATTATCTGGCATTAAGTCTAAATGGAAGGCTTCCCTCCATCCTCCCACAGCACATGGCCACAACGGGGATAAGCCACAGTCTTACAAACCATTAGGCTTTGCAGGCACTTGACCTGAGGATGCAGGGCACTGACACAGAAAGTGAGGCTGTGGGGCCATGTCCTGATCAGGGCAGTTACAGTACAAAACACTGCTAGGGCATGATCACAGACTAGCAAGGAATTTTTTAAACTTAGATTCCCAGGTATAATAGAGGCAGGATATCAAAGCTTGACATTTTGTTTGCAGAAAAAGCTTGCACTTGACCTGTGCCAAAAGCTGGCATTGAATGTGTGGTCAGATTTGTAATCTTGTTTACTCATTCTTTGATCAAATAGATCCTGATTTCAATCACAGTTTTGCAGATTTTGACCATTTTATTTATAGTGCTTGCATTTAAACAATTTTTAACTCTTTTGTTAAGTGTTTATGTACAATTTAGAAAGTGTTAAATTGATATCTGTATTAAAGCTTCAGTACTGAGATCTAAATCTCTAAATCCATTTGTAATTCTCTGAGCAAGTCATAAAAATCATTCCCACCATTTACCCACAAAACAGTACAGCAAAGGCAGCATTTTAGATTCCAGCTAAGAGTGAATACATTAAACTGAATGAATATAAATCAGCACTTGTTCTTTGACATCTTAGCTCAAGTAAGTGAGGGTTTTGCAAATACAGAGCAGTGACAGGAGTGGGTGTATGCAAAACCAATGATATGACCACAGAGCAGACAGTGGTGGACTGCTGGAATGTCCCACAGGTTGTTATTATGAACATGAGACTGGACACACAACATGCCTACATCCCCACAGCACCAGTTCTTATTTACTGCTGTATAGAATGTTCAGTGCTGACCCCATAAAAAGATTAACCGGTACTTTACCGTGTTTGTTTATGGTTGTTGGAGCTGTCGGTTTGTCTCACCACACTCCAAGTGCTTTGAACAATGGCTGTGCTGATGGTAATGCTGGCAATTTCCCTGTGTTTTTGCAGGTCACTGCCAGGGGATTCGCCCCATTGTTGCAGTTTGCCTACACTGCTAAGCTGTTACTCAGCAGAGAAAACATCCAGGAGGTCATCCGCTGTGCCGAATTCCTGCGCATGCACAACCTCGAGGACTCATGCTTTCGCTTCCTGGAAGCTCAGCTACGCAGTGAGGAGGACGGCTTGCTGCTTTGCCACAAGGTGGCGGCGGAGGCAAACAACTCAGAGGATGAGAGCATGCAGTCAGAGGCAGAAAGGCCCACCTCCCCCAGGGCACTGCATTGTGCAGATGCCATCACCTCCTTTCGACGTCCCGACGACGATCGGCTAGCAATGGCTTTGCCCAGTAACTTCACGGATGGCCGACTGGACTTTGATCGACACGGAGCCTCAGATCTGCCACGATGCCCCAAGTACAGGAAATACCAGTGGGCTTGCAACAAGCACAATAATGACACCTCCTCACACACCAGTACCTCAGGTTTTCCAAGCACATTAAAGGAGAGCAGCGTTAGCGGGGCAGTGCCAGGTCAGGGCAGGCTGCCTTTGGCACAGATCAAAGTTGAACCACAGGCAGAGGAAGAGGCCATTTCATTGTGCCTGTCAGGGGATGAGCAGGACGTCAGGGAGAAGGACAGCGTGATAGCCATGGAGATGGATAACCCCATATCTGTGGAAAGAACCAAGAGAACCAAGTCCCCCACCTGCCTCCGAGCCTTCTTCAAGAAAGGGGCGGACCTCCCCAGTCTGCCCAACACATCACAGCAGCTATTCGCCAACAGACTTGTCTGCCCCCAGGACAAAGGAAACTCTCAGGGAGATCATAAAAAAGACTTCAGGCCTTTCACTGGGGAGCTGGGTCTGTCTGTTACATCCCCAAAGGAGGTGGACGGTTTCCCTGCAGGGTTGTCCCTCAAATCCGCTTCCTGCGATGGGGTCTGCAAACAGGAAGTTGAGCTAGACCGCCGTAGTGTCATATTTTCCTCAGGAGCCTGCAACCGTCTGGGAACCCCAGCGCATTCCTACCCTGGTGGGAACTCTTTGGAGATGGAGCTCTCTGAGCACATGACAAAGGGCCTGTGGGCTGGAGCTAGCCAGTCCCTCCCCACCTCCCAGACCTACTCTCCCAGCACCACTTCTTCTGAGCCCCCAGTCCTGTGCCGTCCACGGCCCAACACCAGCTGCCCAGTGCCAATCAAAGTATGCCCACGCTCACCGCCTTGTGAGACACGCACCAGGACTTCCAGCTCCTGCTCCTCATACTCCTATGCGGAGGATGGCAGCGGAGGCTCCCCCTGCAGCCTGCCCCAGTTTGAGTTCTCCTCCTCTCCATGCTCCAATGTGGCACGCTGCCTCAATGTGGACCAGCAGGAGCCAAGTGTGGGAGGGGATGCCCTTTTTAACCAGGTGCGGCCCAAGATCAAATGTGAGCAGTCCTACGGCACCAACTCCAGTGATGAGTCAGGCTCCTTCTCAGAGGGAGACAGCGAGTCCTGCCATGTGCAGGAGCGAGGGCCAGAGGTGAGTGTAAAACATTGTCTTTCACATGTAACCCGCAATGTAGCCATCACACTCAATTCCACCATGGCTAATTATATCGCAGTGGCCTGCTCTCCAGGTCTGCGTTAGCAGTCATTAAATCATCATGTAATTGAAGCGGGAGTGTTCAGTACAAGATTTACAGCACCACCAAAGGGCACAGGTGTGCTTTGATATTATTAATCTGCTTTATGCGCTGTTGGAGATCTGTGTAATGAGTCTGAATATGAGAGCCCAAATGCACTAGGACAGTCTAAACGCAGGAGGCTTCAAGGGTTGTTTCTAGATCTGTGATTAGTTGATCATCTTTGCTGAGAGGAACTTGTGAATTGAGAAGCGCTGCAGGCGTTTGAAGGGTCAGGATTCTCCCAGGGGGGACTGCCCTCTGAAGTGATTCCCTCTGGCCTCCCGCCAGTGTCGACTCGCTTTAGCTCAGTTGATTCCAGCAGAAACACGGACGTCTATCTGCCTCCATAAATATACATATGCTAATTCTCAGTATAGCCTAGCCTACAAGTGCGGTGTCACAAAGGGTTTATAGCCAATGCAATACAGTAGCAAGGTGCTATGGCCATAAAGCTTTAATGGGCAGCCATAGCGGCGAGTTGAATGTGAGTGGGCGAGAGGTTCAGCTCAGTCTCATGTTGGGACTATAACACAGCTCAACAGTGCTGACAGGGATGAATAGCCAATCCTCTAATCACCCTCCCCTAATCCACCTGGGCAGACGTCCTCCAAGCTGCAGACTAGACAACTGTTGTTGTTTACCGGGTAAAGATCAGTGAGGGACCCTCTAATTCTCAGATGGAGCACAGCACAGGTGTAATAACATAGAAATGAGCAGATTTCCCACCTGAGGCTAAGACAATAAAATCAATTCACAAGGAATAGCTTTGCTTGCTCAAAGCACGGCTGTTTGCTCAGTTTAATGATTAAAATTTCCATCTGCATCTTGCTGAGCTTTTGCTGATACTCTGTCAGGTGAAAACCTTGTATCCTCTCAATGCTGTTAGACTTGGAGAAGGAGCTCTTCTTGTTTCCCTGGCTAGAATGTGAAATGTTTTTCTAATAAATTATACATTTCTGCAGTCAGTTGTGGTTTTCATATGACACACTGTCATATGTCTTTCCATAGACTGTGAAATCCTACTTTACGCTGGCTGCTGCGAAGCTTGAACTTTCGACCTCTTGGCACCAGTTACCATCAGGCTAGCTTGACTCTTGTGATAGCGCATTCAGTGATGTTTCCTTGAGGTGTAGGCAGAATTATTTTTGATGAGCTTGGCGGAGAGGGCTGCTCTGAGTGCACAGAGGGAGCAGAGAAAGAGGGAGAGAAAGTGGTGCGTTGCCATGGCAATGAGATTCACAGAGCAAGCCTGTGTGTTGCAAGGGTTGGAGCTACATGACAGGATTGTGCTTTTCCGTGGAAAGAATTCAGTTCCGCTGCACAAACAGAGCTGCAAGATAAAGAGGCTCAGCAGTAATGTGTAATTATTACCTTCACAGTGAGGCACACAACACCCATCGCCATCAGATTTATGGGCCTTTGAAGGGCCTGCTGAATGTGCCACTGTAAATTATGTAAGATTGATTTACAGTGCTGAGCTATCAACCAGGAGAGCAGCCCAAAAATGACAAGGAGACATTTCAGTTGCCTTTGTCATTTCTTTGTGTGGCTGTGACTCTGTTTATATGCATGTGTCAGCCAATGAAGGCGTTCCATTACTCCTCACAATATCCTCTGTCAAATCTCTATTGACTCACACAGGATTATCTGCCAGCTTTACAGCCACTATCACAGGGTGTTGATAAGAGTCTTCATGAATGAATGTTTCCCAGATCTGCCTGTTATGTAGTTTATTGCTTATACTGGAGGTCAAAGAGGCAAAAGGAAGCTCAGCTGTGGGTTACTCCCCTTTTTGGCTTTTTATGTGGTGAAGAAATGCTAGCTCATGCTTTGTGGGACACTCTTTTTCCTACCACCCCTCTCTGTATTTCAGCCATCTAAACAAACACAGGGAGAAGGCTGATCTCACTGTGTTTGCACAGCAAACGGCAAAAGGAGGGGGAAAGCAGCTTGGGTAAAAATAGCTGCAGCTCAGGACTGCGGACTGGACACAATGAGTCCCGATGAGGAAGGAAGTTGTTAAAGTGCAGACCAGTCTGACCAAAGCCTAGTCGTTTAAGGTAGCCAAGAGTCACTTGAGGTCTCTGGGCAGCTCCTGCTCTGTGGTTATGGACAGTTACATTTGCATGAGCCACATCTGTGTAGAAAACGGTCAGCAGATTCAGACAGTAGACAACACAGAGTCACAGTCAAAGGGGGAAAAAACAACACAAATTCTTTTTTATAAAAATGAGAAGATGGACCCAAGTGAGCCTTTGAGGGGATGGACTGATGTGCCGTCCCACTGTGGGAGATGCAGAGTAAAACCATACATCAGTGATTTCACAGATTTCCCTCCAACACAGCATTGATGGAATATTCACTCGTATTATATTGGACTTCACAGTTATTTTAGTGTAAAAAAAAACAAAAAAAAGCAAATGCAATGAAAAACTGGAGCTCAGTATTTCAGAAAAAAGAAAAGCTTGTGGTTTAAGCTATTACACTTATGTTTAACTGTTTGCAAAGTTCAATGAAATTTATTTGAAATCGTGTAATATTTGGTGTGAAGTGTGACCCAAACTTTAGATATACGCTGCTCTGTAACTGCCAGTTCTCTGACTTTATGATGCCTCCTTCCTTGCGCTACTAGCATTTACCATTATCACATAATTGCAGAATTAAAGTTGAATCTAATAGCTATATAAAAAAAATCACTACATTCCATGATTAATAAAAAAAGTACTTTGAGCTGTGTGAAATGATTCTGAGAAGACTTTTTCCTCATTTCCCCACCAGTATTGATCCAAAAACATCACAGAGAGCCCAAGAAGATGACGTTTACTTGCCAAAAACATAAAACACCTTTCGTATTCACTTTGTCATACAATTTTATATTTACTACAAACTGAACTGTCCTGAAAAATGTAACAAAGACAATATACAGCAGATTAATGGGACTCACCAGCAACAAATGTAATCCAGGTTTTAGGAATCTGTTAGCAGGAGCTGAAGTTTAGTTTGTTGCTTCCAGCTGTAGGTAGAAGTCTGTCCTCTGATTTTATGAAGGAAATAAATCATTTGTTACAAAGCAGCCAGCAGGTTGAGTCCTGAGCTCCATCATGGCTGTAGGTGTATCTTTATTATACTGTTGGTAAATAAACTAAGCTAATAGTGATTTGGGCAGTTTGATAAGTTTGCTATTAGTTTAGATTTTGTCTCCACTGTCGTGGTTATGTCTAAATGAATCCATGACAAACGTTAACCGAAGTGACCCAAGCCCAAATGCCATCAATTTAACAGACTGATGAAGCAGCAATCTGACATATCCCATGTCTGAAAAAGGCTTAAGTTTAAGCACTTAAATCACCACACAGAACAATAAAACACTTCAGTTTAGTACATTTGGGAGATTTGTCTCTACAGCTGGACTGGTATGACCTATAGGCTGACATTCGTAGCTAACTTTAAGCCCTATAGGTACTGTTATGTAAATGACTTTATCACACTGCTAAAGTTTCAGTATTCCTCACTTTCTGACGATTAAAAATAAGAGTATACTAAAAGTAGAATATTGCACTCAAGGGTGACGTCATGCTTCGCCAAGCTGAATTGTGGGTCTTTTGCTTTGCTTTGATTGTTGTTGCTATGACGATTGTGCCAGCAAAGACACCCTGAAAAATGCCAGGCACGCTCACTGTCGAGCTTCAGCGCAATGTGTATATGTGAGTCCTGCCTTGCTGCGTGTGTATACCAAGTTTTAGCACTTTTCATCAATAGTTGAATAGGAGACTGGAGTGTGTAATCACTCAGCTAACACCGTCAGCTGCCACAGTATCACCCGGATATAATATTATTTAAGGTGCTGATGCTTTGCCTCTACAACCAGCAGCATCTGAGCTGAGGATGCATCACGCACCTGCACACAGCGGCATTAGCACCTCAGTCTGTCTCCTCTCTTTGTCAGAGTTCCAGGTTGCAGTGTAGGTGTTGAGCTCATTCTAGCGTATAGTCTGGCCACAGCGGTGCAAATATTGATCTCAGAGCAAGTGGGAGGAATGAGGAAGCAGTTCTGATACATCAGCACATTGTTGTTTTCCTTTTTTCTTTTTCTTTTATCAGGCAACACACAAAATAGAATGTGCGGCAGGAAATGTACAGACCTTAATATCAGTTCCGCTACCCTTGCACTATGCCAGAGAACCTTTGCTCTAGTCTAGATATGATGTGGCTGTGGTCTGAATCCGTTTTGCCATTCATAATATTAGCTGTGGAGCTGTTTACTTTTTTTTTTTTTTTTAGTCATATATCAGCAAAGAGCAGGATAAGATGTCAGATGAAATCCCAGTAACTGATGCCTTTTTCATGAGATGTTACCTTTTCATCCTCAGGCGCTACATGTAATTTTTAAAAGCAACATGACAACACCTATCAGTGTCAGACGGAAACGAAGTGTTCTTTTGGAAATACCGTTAAATACACTAATGGAATACAAACACGTGGCATCTGAAATGTGATAAGTGCAATTGAACGGAAGTACATGGTGCAAAAATATGAAAGCTGGGGAGTCTTATGTGCCCACTGTGTGGAAGGAGACTTATTCAAGTTAAGCATTAGAGGGATGTTTGCCTATTCTTTTCTCTCTTAAATCTATATTTAACAAGGGTAATGCATATAAAAAAATGTACTGATGGAAACACAGGGAGCCTTAGTTTGAGGCCCACAGAATACGCAGAGGGAGACGTGTTAAAATTGAGCAAGAGGAGTGCTGTTTACCCAAGCATTTTACTTTGAAATTTATATTTATCTAGCTTGATGCATGTAAGAAAAATGTAGTAACAAGGTAATGAGATTCAGTGCCTCTTCATTACCCCCC